TTCACATCCCGTGTCCCTTGCAACAGTGAGATATTGAGGAGGCCGGAGTTTTTATAGAATCCCTAGAATCATGGAGTTGAAAAGGGGGCCTCTAAGGTCATGGAGTCCAACCCCCTATTCAAGGCAGGAATCAAAATCAAAGCAGCTCTGACAGAATTCTGTTCTGTTTTCTCTAGTGTTGGAGCGCTCACCACCCCCAAAAATAATTGGTTTCATTGTTGTACTCTCTTAACAGGAAGATTTTCTGGCCGAAATCTGGCTTCCTGTAACATGAGCCCATGATGATGTGTCCTGCCCTCTGGGCGTGATGGAGAACAGGTCCTGCCCTCCTTCTGCAGGACGACCTTTCAGGTCCTTGAAAAGGGCACTCCTCTCTCTCCCCTCAGTCTTCTCAAGGCTAAGCATGCCCAGTTCTTCCCTTCATCTGTTTGTAATTAAAAGTGGCCGAGATCTCACAAGGTTAGGAGAAAGAAGAGCATGACTAGAGAACCTCTGGCTGGAGTAATTCTCCTCTTCCTGCAGGTGAAGAACCCGGTTCCTCGCGTCCCCCACCCAGACTGGCTGCACAAGAAGCTCCTGGAGAAGAACGACGTGTACAAGCAGAAGAAGATCAGCGAGATGTTCACGAGCGAGGGCAAGCGGAAGGTAAGGGGCGAGAGAGCCAGCAGACTCCCTTCAGGAGGGAGGGGTCGGGGGGCTGGAAGGCCAGATTTCCCCCTCCCTCACCGCCCACATGGATCACAAAAATAGTCCGTTCCTGGTCTCCCTGCTCGTCTCCCAGTTCACTCCAACCATCTGCTCTAACGTCCATTTCTTAAAAGTTCTGTGTTCAAATTCTCCCTGGCCTCACTCGTAACATTCATTAAACCTATCCCAAGACTTAATATGCACTCGCCCCAGCTTAAAATGTTGAGTCCCTGCAAATTTATGTATTAAAATACGCATTACAAATTTATTCTACCTCTGAGCTACGCAGTGTCCGTGGTTCCTTCTACTGGTTTCTTATACCTCGGCCAATTTATACCTGGTTTCTTGTATCTCAGCCATTTCTTCTATGACAGATGTTTGCGTCCCTTGAATTGGTTTTCCCAACCGCCCCCATTTATGATAATAATAATAATTTTTTAAAAATCTACAAGTTTAACCATTCTAATATATCCTTGTAACTGATGACACCTAATGCTAGGTTAAAATGGTAATAACTTACTGAGGGTTCTGGGTCATTTCTCTCCAGCTCAGTATCATCCCTCAGCCCAACAGTCATGAAATTTGATGGCGCTAGTCGCAAAATGTGATCAGTTTTTTGGATTTGGCCTTTATTTTATTTATTTGTTTAAAATATTTTTACCCCATCTTTCTATTTAAGAAGGTTCCCAGGGCAGCTCACAGCATTTAAAGACCGTATTTAAAGCTAAAAACAGCGGGCAATGCAGAAAAGGATCAAACGAATACCACACTAAAAGATAGTTAACAAAGGCAACATCGAAAATGCATTCAAAGCAGGAAGGCACAACCATCCATTTAAAACCCCCACTCAGGCAGCCGGTCACTCGGGGGAAGCCTGCCTGAAGAGAGAGGTCTTGGCCTCCTTTGGAAGGACAGCCAAGAGGGGGCCAGGGTGGCCTCCAGTGGGAGGGAGTTCCAGAGTCTAAAGGAGCAGCCACAGAGCAGGCTCTCCTCTCCTGTGTCCCCACCAGAGGCACCTGAGAAAGTGGTGGGACCGAGAGAAAGGTCTCCCTTGATGAGCTTAACACCCGAGCAGGCTTCTAAAGGCTCACACGTCTTGAATTTAGTGGCCAAACTGGCAGTTGATTTCAAGTTCAGGGGCCACTTTGTCATGCAGTGAATGGTTTGGTGAATAGATTTTTAAAAAAACACAGGGGGGGGCCACAGACATACACACGTGGCCAGCAGCAGCCTCCAGCGACTCACCGTGTAGAGCCTCGAAAGTAGGAAGCCAGAGTTCAAAACACGTCAAAGGTGAGGATTCGAGGAGCTTTTCCCGCCTGAAACAGGCCTGTTCGCGAGGAGAGGAAAACAGCTCCTCTCTGCCCGAGGCGCAAACCCACACTGCCAGTGCCACGGAAGACTTTGTTACATTAAATTCTAGTCCTTTCTTCTCCAAGGTTCTAGAATCCTATGACCCAATCCTATATGTGCATTGATTGGGAGGTAATTCCTGCTTTCTTCATTGGCGCTTCCTTTCTAAGAAATTGTGCAAGTAGCCTTACCCTTTCAGCTAGCGAGAGCTTGCTTTAGTCCCTTTCGGACGCCCCAAAAGCAGTCAAATTAAAAAAAACTTGTCCCTTAGCGCTGTGGTCCCCAACCTTGGGCCTCCAGATGTTCTTGGACTTCACCTCCCAGAAATCCTGGCCAGGAGATGTGGTGATGAAGGCTTCTGGGAGTTGTAGTCCAAGAGCGGATACAGTTTTAGAGCAAGAAGGTTGATCTGTGCCGTGGGTCTATCTCGGAACTTTTGACAAATCCCTTTGCGGGCTGAGTGTAATCTTCTCCCGGATAACGAGAGAGGCATAAGGATTTCATCCTTTTGGAATGAAGAGCTTGGAAGGGCCACCGCGTTGTGCTTCACCTCTGCCGGGCTTTCTCTTAGGTCTCCGCTACTCTGCCCCAAGAGGGCAGCACCCCCTGCACGCAGATCACCGACATGGAGGATTTGGGGATCACGAAGCCTCCCCAGCCGGGGGTCCCCATGTCTACCAAGCGTAAACGCATCCCCACTGCCGAGGACAGCCAGCAGGAGTCACAAAATCAGGAGCTCACGCAGTCCTGGAGGGAGATCCTGGGGTTGCCGCCACCCGTGGGCACCACCAAGGTAATGCTGCATCTGGGAAATGAACACATCTGGGCGTCCCACAGCTGTAATCCGTCTCTGTGGTTTCCTTTCTAGTCAGCGCTGTTGGTTTTTGTAAATAAGATAGGATAGATTTAGTTAAAATGTCTCTGGGCCCGTCCGTCCCTCCCGCTTTCTCGTGAAATAGGATCCAAATCAACTTATGTGCGTAAAAGACAACATTTAAAAGCTAGGAGCAGAATGTATACAAATATGAAAAAGAAGTTTCTGCTGTACTAAAATAAGATAAATGAAAGCGACACCAAAAGCACGTTTAAAGCAGTAAAGGGACAACCATCGAATTTAAATAAACCTTACTCAGGCAGCCAAGTCAGTCCTGGGAAAGCCTGCTGGAAAAGAGAGGTCTTCTCCTGCTTGTGGAAGGACAGCCCTGATGGGGCCAGGCTGCCCTCCAGTGGGAGGGAGTTCCAATGGGGAAGACACAGTCTTTGAGATATAGCAGAGACCCAAGCTGTTTAGAGCTTCATAGGTCAGAACTTGCCAACAGAGCAGCTTGTAACCGGGGGGGGGGGGAGGGGGGGGGTTGCTGATGGGATGCCTGGCTCATAAAGGCCAACGCCGTCCTTGAGACGGCTTCGGGAGCATGGCATTTGTACTCCAGGCCTGACCCAGGTCGGATCATCATCCTCTGTGAGCTTGCACTACTGATGGTGTCACTGCATTTAATGTACCCGGGGTCAAATCCTGAGGCAGACAATACCATGAGCTGAAAGCGTCGGCATATAGTCTGTGCCGGGAGCCCTCTCCATCCGATGCTCATCCCTCTCGCTCGCTCGCTCGCTCAATCCCTGCAGGAGGAGCGGTTAGCTTGGCTGTGCTTCCACAAGAAGAAGTGGGAACTCCAAGCCCGTCAGCGCCAAGAGCGCCGGAAGAGGCGGCGGCTGGCGGACGGCGAGGTGGTCCTAGGCGGGGGCCTGATCCGGGCCGGCCCCTCGAAGGGCCTCGGCAACTACCTGCGCAGGACGGCCCGCAGCATCCTTGACCTGCCTTGGCAGGTTGTCCAGGTAAGGACCAGCCAGGAGCGATGGGAGGTGGGATAGAAGGAGCTCAGTGCCTCTCGAAATGCCGACCGTGGGCCTGTCTTGTCACCCTCTGGGCGCTTCCAGGTTCCCACTGGGGCAGCTGAGCAGGGCCACGCTTTCCCTCCGTCCCTTTGGGGTCTTTCTTGACAGCTTCCCCTCTTTCCGTCGCCCATAACCCCAGAGGGCTTGCTTTTTCTACCTTAGATTGCGGAGACCAGCCAGCTGGGCCTCTTCAAGCTGTGGGCTGTGATCGGGAATGACCTTCACTGCCTCAAACTGAACATCTCGAGAGTCTTCTGCGTCAACCAGCGTGTCCCGAAACCCGAAGACAGCACGGTGTATAGGAAGGTGTGTGGCCCAGGTGGAGGCTAGGGTGGGAAGGGGCTCTCTTTTTTTTTCCAAACCCCCAATTAACCCCACTCCCCCATTTCATAAGTGGGAATTATATCTGCTCTGCTTGGAGGTGAGAGCTGATCGGAGTCTACATTTTTGGGGGCATTTTACAAGCATCCTCCCTCTCTGGAGGAGAGGCGGAGAAGCTTCAGGTCCAGAGCGCATGCGCAAGGCCACTGGGGTCCTGTTGTGCGTGTGCGCTCCGAAGTTGCTGGGCTTCATTCCTGGTGACGCTCTTGGCAGGTGAACAGGATCCTCCCTCGCGCCAACTTGGTTTACAACCTTTACGAATACTCTGTGCCGGAAGAGATGTATCAGGAGCACATCAACGAGATTAATGCCAGTCTCTCGGCCCCCGACATTGAGGGCGTGTATGAGACACAGGTAACTTTTGTTACTGTTATTGTGATGATGATGTGCTAATGTACATGGAGGGCAAAGGGATGTTCAGACACATCCCATGACTACGTTGTGATGATTTTTCATATGGTCCTTTAAAGGCAAGCAGTTACTCTAGTGTAAGGGTTTTTTAAAAAAACTTATGTTCCTCTGCAACTCTTTCTTTCATTCGTTCATTTGTTCGTTCATGCTCAGCACTACTTTGGGCGGCTTACAATTAGAAGCGATACAAGCCATGTACTATAATGTAACAATAATTAATAAATCAGAAAAACTCTGAACTAATCAGAGTATAATCAGTGGATCGAACATCCAACCAAAGCAGAACCAAATTATGGTAGGACAGGCGGCATAAAAGAGAACAAGGCTTTAAAAAAAGAGTTCCTTTGAAGGCTTCTGTGAACAGCCTTGCTTGGAGCCTCCATTCTCTTAAAGGCATGGGGGGGGCGCAGCTCCACCGGGAGGCCGTTCCACAGGGACGGAGCCAAAACCGAGCAGGCCCTGCTTCTAGGCGATGTCCTTCTGGCTTCTCTTGATCTGGCAACTCATTCGAGCCCGGCTTGTGGGAATCGGGTGGCGCAGGCTGATGTTCGTAGGCAAAGATGCTCCAATAAGCTCTGAGGCCAGTGGTGGGTTGCATCACACAAGTGCCACACAGAGCGTGCTTTCTTGGCTGTGTTAGTAAAGCGCAACCTAAAGGCAGTCCGCTCCCTGTGAAGGGGGACCCCTTGCTCTGCAGGACGCCCAGGAGCCAGCTTGCTCTTCTCCCTGCGGTTTTCAAGTGGGAAGAAAAGGTGCTTTTTGCTGGGAGAGCATCAAAAGGCAAGCTGGGGAAGGAGGCCAGGTGCTTCAGGAGCCCGGATCCTGCCAAGCCGCAAGCAGTGCCAGGAGCGGGAGAGGGCGGCTGCTGTTCCGTCCTTCTGGAACGAGGATCCAAAGCTTGCTGGCACGAAGCCGGCTTAGCAGGACAAGTGGAAGGAGGAGATGTCTGTCGGGTGCCCTCCGACACTTCCGTACTGCTTTTATAAAGGCTTCTGACCCCAGCTGGCGTCTTTGCCCACCTCAAAGGGTCTGCCCGCCTCTTCCGTCCAGAAGGATCCGTAGCTTGCTGGTGGGTGTGAAGGGCGGTTTTTCTTCCCCCCCCCCCTTTACCAACGGTCGTTTCCTCCCTCCCAGGTGCCGTTGCTGCTGCGGGCCTTGATCCGCCTGGGCTGCGTCTGTATGGTCAACAGGCATCTGGTGAGGCACCTTGCAGGCCGAGAGGCCGAGACCTTTGACCTGGAGCACCTCGAGATGCGCTCGCTGGCACAGTTCAGCTACCTGGAGCCAGGTGAGAAGCGACCCCGAGGCGGAGGGAGGGCAGGGGTGCTCGGCCAAGCAAGGGCCTCCCTCCTCTGAACGTGGGGCTCTGCTTTTGCACCTCCAGGCAGCATCCGCCACCTCTACCTTTATCACCACTCGCAAGGCCACAAGGCCCTCTTCGGCCTCTTCCTTCCATCCCAGCGCAAAGCAGCCGTCTTCGTCCTTGACACGGTAAGGGGAGCGGGGGGGTAACTGGCCAGAGGGCCGCCGGCGTGGCTTCTTCTGTGACTGAGGCTCACAGAGAGCAGCACGCTGGTCCCGTGGGCTCAGTAGGCTAAACCCTCATCCAAGGCAGTCTCTCGAGCCAGTGGCAAACAGGCAGGATCTGAGAAAGATGGTGGTTCAATCCAGCATTGGAGCGCTCAACACCTCCCAAAATAATTGGTTCCATTGTCGTACTGCTCTAACAGTTAGGCAGTTTTTCCTGATCTTCAGCCTCAATCTGGCCTCCTGTAACTTGAGCCCGTTATAACGTGTCCTGCCCTCTGAGATGATGGAGGAGGGCTTCCTAGATTCCCTGCCTCGGGCTGTCCTGTCCTAGAAGCCACCCAGCAGCGTCTGGTGGTCCCTGCCGCTCTTCGGGCGGGAGGTGGGTTTTTTCTTGTGTCATTCCCTCTCCCGAGAAACCCCATGTGCTTGACTCAGGTGCGTAGCAACCAGATGCCCAACCTCAGCAACATGTATTCAGCGGAGCACACGGCCATGGTGGAGAAGGTGGGTCCGGAGCTGCTTCCGCCAGAGAAGCACACCTTTGAGGTGCGGGCGGAGACAGACCGCAAGACCATCTACCGGGCGATCCAGCGCCTCCTGCTGGCCTACAAGGTAACGGCTGAGAATAAATGGCCATACTCTATTCCTCATCGGACCAGGGAGGGTCTTCAAGAGACCCCTTCTCTCGTGCTGAGCCTGGTGGGTCTGGCTCTTCTCCACCTGCTCCGGCTCCCCGTGGGTGGGTGGCTTCTCCTGAACCTCCCTGGCAGATCTTTGGGGTTTGAGGACCACGTCACGTGTTTCTCAGATCTGGGGGATGAAAAGGAAGGGATCTCAATTGCAGCTGTGAAAGTCAGACGACTTTTCCTGCATCTTTCGATGCTGCTCAGAATCCCTCTCCTTTGGTTGCTCTTTGACCCCCGCAGAAGAAAAGAAAGTACAAGTGCCTGTGGGAAAACTCTCCTCCCACAACCAAACGGAGCATAGAGCCTTATCAGTTTTTTAAAAGGCAGATGGAGGAACCAGTCGCATTTATTGTTCTGAAGCGTAATTGCTGACATTGGTTCCTGGTTGGCGGCAGGGTTGGGGTGAGGCTCTTCCAGGCTTCCATAGGACTAAGAGAAGTGCCAGCGATCAAGGAAGCCGTTGGCCCTTTCCTTTCTTCCTTCCCTGGCCACTTTCCGCCCTTGTGTTCATCCGACCTTCTCCGTCTCAGGATGAGCGCCGGGGGCCCACCCTCATTGCCGTGCAGTCCAACTGGGACGTGAAGCGGCTGGCCGGCGGGATGCCCGTCCTGGAGGAGTTCCCCCTCGTCCCCGTCCAGGTCACCGACGACATCAACTACGGGGTCCTGGACTGGCAGCGCCACGCCGCCCGCCACATGATCCGCCGGTACCTCAACTTGGACACGTGCCTGTCCCAGGCCTTTGACATGAGCAGGTAAGGTTGGGCAATGGGGCAGAAGGCCCTCCGAAGGCAGGGCAGAAATTGGGACAGGCCAAGAACGGCTGTGGCTGGGTCAGAATTGGAGGGTGAGTCTCCCATCCCTAAGAAGCCCATCAAGGGCTGAAGCATGACAGCTGAGGAAAGCCAGGTTTTTAGAATTTGTACCAGGCTGGGCTGGTCCCCAAGTAGGTATGATTTCATTTCCTTTCATTTCTGTTCCACCCATCTAACCAACAGCCACTCTGGGCCGCTGACCAGCAATCACAAAACATGAAAGCGACTTCATCGAAAACACTAAATGAATTAAATAAATCAAACAATATTAAACGAGTTAGCATGGGCAGCAAGTGTTTAAGAGACTGATAGTTAGCAAGTTCTTCCATCAGCATCTGTTGCAAATCCTGACAAAACAGCTGTGTTTTTTAAAAAAGAGTCTCTTGAAAGGTACCAAGGAGGGGGCCCGTGGCGAATGTCAGGGGGCAGTTCATTCCAGAGGTGGGGAGCAGCCACCGAGAAGGCCTGGCTCCTCATTCTCCTTCCAGGCCTCTCTTGGGGTTATCAGCCTCCAGCGTCCAGCCGGGAAGGAGGGAGCAAGTCAGACAGACGGTCCCGACTGGAAGTAGCCGTTCTGCCCCCTAACACACATCCCAGAGTTCCTGGATGCTCCGTGGAGGGTGGGTTCCAGAACTCCAGGCCATGATGTTCCTGGCTTGGGGGACCCCGGCTGAAGGGTCACAGGAGACCCACCGCTTAGTCGGCTTGGGAGATTCGGTCGCTCCGACCTTACCTGCCTGTCCTCGCTTCTGCCTACTAGGTACTACCACATCCCCGTCGGGAACCTTCCGGACGACATCTCCATCTTCGGCACAGACCTCTTTTTCTCCCGCCACCTCCATCGGCACAACCACCTCCTCTGGCTTTCTCCCACCTCCCGGCCGGACCTGGGGGGCAGGGAGGCCGACGACAGCCGCCTGGTCATGGAGTTTGACGAGAGGGTCTCGGTCGAGATCAACCACCCGGGCTGCTATTCCACAGGTAAGCCAGGAGACAGGTGGGGCTGCCTCCCTTCCTTCAGAGCCCTGCCCCCTCCTTGGCTTGGGGTGGGACCCATAGAAAGGGGTTTGAGGCTCAGGTGCGACCTTGGTCTTCCGTCTGCTTTTTCATGGGTAGGCATTCTGTTTGACTTTAAATCATCTTTGGTTGCCGTTCTCTAATTTTTGGGAGGAATGGCGTGTGGCCCCAGGGAGAAGCCCCTCCTTGGCCCACAGAAGGGACTCTCCAGGCAGGACAGAGGAGATCTTCCTGTCTGACAACCTAGAGAGCCACAGTTCAGTGTCCTGAGCTCGGTGAACCAAGGGTGTGCCCTGATCTGAAGCTTTTCCCGTCTCCACCGGAGCACAGCGCAGCTTTCCTTAGTGGAAGAAAAGGGGATGCTACAGACAAGAGGGGAGAGGTGGTGTGCCATTCCGAGCAGCCTTGCCTTTCGGTCCTCTTTCTTTCCTGGAAAGTCTGAGCAAGAGGATGTGGCCGGGGTGCCTCGAGGTGTGTAAGCTAGAGATGGGCACAAACCTCGGTTTGGAGGTTCGTTCAGGTTTATGAGGAGGGCACTGCAGGTGCCGCGCGTCCCCTTCTCCCGCCTCTCCAGCCAAAGCCCCGCTCACCCGCTGGAGTGTCTTCCTCTCCCCCTCCTTCCCCGTCAGCTGTTCATCCGTTCCCTGGCAGGAGCATGGGCTTGCCTGCCCCGCCTCCTTGTCTGAGTGGGCGATCGGCCAAGGGGGCGGGCAGGGAAGCCGGTGCTCCTGCCGAGGATCGGCTGAACCGCCAAAGGAGAGGAAGAGAGGTGAGTGATGAAATCTTGGCTGGATTTCACCACTCACAAAACGATACAAACCTCTGAAGTTCATGCCCATCTGTCGTGTAAACCCTTTTGGAAGACAGCTCCCCCACCCCCAGTTGAATCGTTGCATTCCTGGGGCTTCAGTTGCTCTGAGATCCCAGATCTGCCTCCTTTGAGGGCAGCTCGGTTTGACCGACGGAAAGGCTGGAGCGGCGCTCAGCTTTCCTGCCTCCGGGCCCAGACCGTCTTGGCTCTTCTTCCAGTCTGCGTGGAGCTGGACCTCCAGAGCCTGGCTGTGAACACCATCCTGCAGTCCCACCACGTCAACGACATGGAGGGCGCCTCTAGCGTGTGCGTCAGCTTCGACGCGATCCAGCAAGCGTCGCTGGAGGACATGGTGACCGGGAACCAGGCAGCCAGCCTCCCGGCCAGCTACGACGAGACTGCCCTCTGCTCCAACACGTTCAGGTGGGTCCCGTGGCTGGGCTTCTTCCCACCCCCAATGGGCCATTCTCAGTGGCAGGACCAGTGGGGAAGACCTTTCTCTGGGTCTATTGCCAAGGGACGTCTCTCTCCGTGTTCCCTGGCAGGATCTTGAAGAGCATGGTGGTCGGCTGGGTGAAGGAGATCACGCAGTACCGCAACGTCTACGCTGACAACCAGGTGATCCACTTCTACCGATGGCTGCGCTCCCCGACCTCCCTCCTCTACGATCCGGCCCTGCACCGCATGCTCCACAACATGATGAAGAAGCTCTTCCTCCAGTGAGTCCCTTTCAGAGCCCCACAGAGACACCGTGGCCCGTTCGATGCAGTTTAGGTGTTTAATTTTTTGTCCGCTGCCTTGAGTGGTGGCTTGCCAGTACGTGGGTGGGGCAGAAATGAAATGAAATATATACAGTAACAGGGAGGCGACAGAGGCAGGAGGAAGCATCCCGTTTTACCAAAACGAGACGAATCTCTGAGGTAGGAAAAGGTTCGGCGCTTTGTTTTGCTTCGGTAGGACAGGATCCTTGAATGGGGTCACGAACCGAACGGCAAACCAGCGTAGTTTGTGGAAGTTTTCTGGTGCGCGGTTCAGTTCATGCCCGACTCTCGCAAGGCGAAACGTTCCATAGGAACTTCAGCTCCCCTGCGGCCCCTGCTTAGCCCACTAGATGGCGGGCTTGCAGAGAATGCCATGAAAGGAGCAAATCCTATCGGTTTGCCGGCCATAAACACAACAGGAAGGAAATAAGAAGCCAAATCAGGGTTGTATAAATTGCATAACGAACCTTTGTAAGGTGTTGTGTGAAGAATGGCTTCCAGTCTGTGACCCCCTTCAAATGGGGGGTCCTCTACAGGGCCATAAGCCCCCCTCCTTGAGAATGACTGGACTGACCCCATACCACCGGCATGCTGCTCCCTGTGAGCCTCAGCCAGGGAAGAAGCCACACCAAAGGTCCTCTGAATCCTCCTTCCCAAAGCAGCGTTGAGGGCAGGGGGTCACCGGAGTTGCAGCGGGCTGCTGAGGGTGCTCAGCTTGGCACCGAGGTCTTTATGAGTCCGAAGCCTGGTTTAAAAAAAGGAAGGCAAAATACGACCAGTGCCAAGTAATCTTCAGGAGCCCGAGAGCTTTCTGGGGGTACCTGCTGGTCTTTGAGCAAATTAGCCTGTTCTTGAAGAGGATGAGTTCTTCAGGAGAGGCAGCTTAAGTTCCTGCTTGGGGGTGGTCCCCCTTTTTTCCCCTCTGAATCCCCTCCCCACAAGCCCCAGGAACCGTGCGAGGCTTCTCTTCCTGGCTGTCTGGGTCCCCGAGGACGAGCGCTTCGCTTAGAAGAGGACGGCGGAGAGCCCCGCTGGTGGCTGTGGCATGGCCCACCTCGGGGTGCTGCTCCCCTTTACTTGCCCTCCTTCCTCCTTCCAGGCTGGTGGCAGAGTTCAAGCGGCTGGGCTCTTCGGTGGTTTACGCCAACTTCAACCGCATCATCCTGTGCACCAAGAAGCGGCGCATCGAGGACGCCCTCGCCTATGTGGAGTACATCACCAACAGGTGCGGATGCAGCTGGCGATGGGGCCGTGGAGAGGAGATCCCTGGTTCAGGAGGAGGCGCGAACTGGCCTTGTGAAATGCAGGTCGAGGACGCCTTCCTGTTACCCCCTGGCTTAAGTTCTGCTACTCCTGTGATCTCCAGAGCAAAGCAGTAATGAGAGAAAACAAGAAAAAAATCTTGGCGTCCCAGCAGATTTTTGGTGCGATCAGAGCCTGGCCGACCCAGAGGTTCTTGGACAGCAACTCCCAGAAATCCTGCCTGGCAGAGGCTTCTGGGAGTTGTAGTCCAAGAGCATCTGGAGACCCATGGCGGGGCAACCACTGGCTGACACATTCCCAACCATCATCCCTCGGAGGGCAGGTGTGTGTGGTTCTCCTGGCCAAGGGGCCTGTGGTGGAAGACCCCCCCCCTTAGGTCTTTCAAGGGAGCCCGTCC